ATCCGTGTCGATCAAAATAAACAATTCTATTGGCTTTAGGTCACGTGATGGACACGGCTTTAGACGACCCCCTTTTTTGGGGGTTTCAGGCAAATTTTCCCAGGCGTCAAATAGCAAAATTCTTATTAAAAAAACATACGGAAATTTTTGATGGATATTTGGATTGAATTGATCGTGGGTCCATATTTAATATTGAGCAAATTTATTGTAACTGTAAAGAATTAGAAGTGAAAGAAGAATAGATAATTATTTGATTTGATTAGCATAACATAATCGATAAAAGTATAATTTTAAAAGAAAATTCTAACCTCTTTATTAATAAACGTTAGTGAATAATGAATTCGTTTATGATTAACTATTTATAAATATTTATAAATATTTATAAATGTAAATTAATGGATCAAGATGAGCGTTAAATTCTGAACGGTTAAATAAAATTATCAACCTTTTTATAGTTTTTTTAAACATAATGCTATTTAAAAGTCATTCATTATAAACATATCAAATTTAAACTGTTTGGTATCATGACAGATATCAAAGTTCTTTTTGAATATACTTTATTAAGAAATATTATTGCCGTGAGAAACATCTTTCAAATATATTTGAAACAAATTCTCCTAAAATTCGGTCAGAAGACATTGTACAACTCTTTTTCTTTTGTTGTTACCTTTTTCTAGGCACTATGATTACTTTTTCTAAGTACGATTAAAAGGATGACATTGAATGTGACCATTCTCTTATAGCGTTTGATAATTCCAATTACATTTAATATGACGAAATGTACTACAGCCTGATCGGAAGAATTTATATAAAACTTTATTTCATTACCAATTACCTTTATTATTTATTAGACTTACTATACTATATATTATACTTCTATACTATACTATATTATTTTTTTTCGCACAATTCTTTGTTTGCAGCAGTATTATTTGAAGGGTCACAAGTGAAAATACAATAAACATGGTTTAAAAATAAAATTCCGATATACGTAGTGATAACGGATGATTTTTCCGATACACGTATTGATAACGGATGCTTTTCCCGAATAAACATCGTATTTCGGATTCGCACGTACATACGACGTAGTACGATCCAATGCGCAGCACATGAGTCATATAACTGCGGCATTCAATGCCACTATATCTACTGTATTTGGTCATTAAATAGCGCCATCGGATCTGCTTTACCATTTCATATAAATATATTTATTATTATCGTTATACATTCAGTTTATCTGGGCATAAATTACGTAATGGTAATATTAATGAATGCAATGAACTTATTTCGAGCCTTTCAGACTTATAGTTTCATTAACGTTAATAGAATTGACATTCATAATATACTATTTCGAGTTCGTATCGGAAAATATTAAGTTTTGTCTAGAACATTTGTCTAGAACACTGCACAATAAAAATTCTATAATTATTATTGTTATGATTGTAATTAAGATCATAATTATTGTTATTTGTCATTCAATTAATAAATATGTTTAGACTATTTTATGATTAAGGATTAGCTTGCAAAGTTAGTTTTTCACTATCGGAGAACTATAAAATTGATTAACGTTAATAACACAGATACTCCGATATGTGCCAATCAGAAGTGGTGGTAAATTCAGTTTTTAGTTGATTTAATAATTTATAATTACTACATACTTTTTGCAAAATAACTATCTAATCTAAGCATAATTTCAGTGTACATACGTACGTACGTACGTACGTATGCAAACTTTAAATTCGTCGCTAACGTTAACTGTTAATAGTACGTTATAGTTTCCGAGTGATCTAAAACTTGTGTAATATTAACAACGAAACAATAAAAAAAAAACCGGATTTTATTTTGTTCTTGTGACCTTGGGAACTGCAGAATGTGCCTTGTACAACAACTTCTTGATATTATTGGTTGATCAGAAACATGATTATTAAATGCTTTGAGTTTTAGATAATTATTGAGCTACTATAATTAGCAAATTACGGAATCCACGTCCATACAAAGCCACCGGAGTTATGGATGAATACAAATCCGATATACCGATATGTACGTATGTATATGTTGTAAGTGGGAATGGAATTTAAGTGGATTTGGAATTTCCTAGTCAAATTAGGGTTAGGGTTAGGGTGTACATATGATAAAATTAACCCCAGAACGGGGGTTTTATATATAAATTCCGAATCCACTTAAATTCCGTTTCCACTTACAACATATATACATACATTGATCGACATTTATGATTACCGATCAATTTACTAATGAACACCGTAGTATAATGCTAAAAGTCGGTTTGACTTGCGAAGATAGTTTCTCACGAGTGAAGATAAACTTTGACTTTTTATATGGCTAAATCATTAATGCATAAGATGAAACTTATATATATTAAATGCAACATTCTAGTATCGTTCTCTATTTACGCAAGTGCGCATTTTATTACTGTATTTCTTTCATTATGTTGTAATTGGAAACGAAATTTACTATAATAATTTTGGGGTAGAATTCATTTTATATAAACTACACTCTAACCCTACAATCCTAAGAAATTCCATTTAAATTACGTTCCCACTTACAACATAAATACATGTAATCTATTACCTAAAAAATATATATCAATATTGTCATCGATCAAAATACAGTTACACTACATACAGTAAGTACGTACGTACGTACGTACGTACGTATCTGGTATAGTACGTACGTACGTACATCTTTTGGAACAATAGGTAACTTTTTTTGTCAAGTCATTGAGAATCGATTCTTAGCTTTCCTTATGCTCGAACATATTGACTCTCTATTATTCCTGTGCATAAAAATTAAACTGCAACTTCTAAATATTAGATTACGTTAGCGTCAAGTAGTAACTAAATTTCTTTTAACATTAAAAAAAAGCAAATTTTGATTGGTATTTTTTATTTACAATTGTATGATATTTTCATGTGTGACAAACGTTTATACATTTTCATTTTTGGCTACAGTTAAAAGAACTAATTTCTAGTTTTACATAAATGACAATCTGCGGTAATCAAAATTACCAAATCAGATTTACAAAGATTTCGTGATTTTCCGTATGTTTTATATTACAAATTTGATTAACCCGATAAATCCCGATAAAATTCACATAAAAACTTATGTAAGCATAATAATAACATATTCATTCGAATTCTTGTTTATTCTGAGTCATTAAGGTACGAAACTTGTGTTCTTGAGAAAAAAAAAACGAATTATATGAACTACTAACCAAATAAAGAATATCATTAATCTGCGGTATGCTAAATATGTAATATGAAAACTTGTATCATATTATCGTATATATGAACAAAAACGTTAAAAGTCCCACGAATCATCAAAGAATATTTAAAGGTCGCTTAACGTTAACGTTGGAGTTACTGTAGTCGCTCATTACTTTTTAAATTGTATAATTTCTCTATTGAATTTATTGAAGATTTTATATTCAAACTATATTGTAAATTTAAAAGTTTTTTTGATAAATTCCTAATAAAGTTATAGATTAGTAGACATTCTAAAATATATATATATATTCTTTTTTTTTTAAAGGTGATTGAATTTGAGAAAAAAAAAAAAAAAAGAATGGAAAACTTTTTACCCAAGCTTTTCGTGAGTAACTTGTTATTCACACAATAATTACTGTATCAATAAATAAATTTACGTACTACAGTACAGCTAATCCTTAAATTTTTAGACTATTTCTGATAGTGATAAATTTCAAACTTCAAAAGTCGGAATTAGAAAAGCAAGAGAGATAGTTCAAGATTCTAAACATTCTAATGAATCGCAAAATTATAAAGATATTCAGAAAGTCGAAATTCAACAAATTCCACGTTTTAAAGAGGCATATGACCTACCCATCTTTAGCGCTCATAATCCTGGATTTTACGTAACCAATCTTTGAAAATGGCCTTTGAAATGTTTTGTCATTTTTAGATATCGCATCAAGTTATAATGTTTGTACTGTTATCGTTCATATCATCTTATTATTTGTATATACTTATATGTTTAAGGGCGACGAAATGATTTATGTATATATTTTATGTTTTCAACGAAATGGTTTATGTAAAGGAAAACCCTGTTATCTACTGATGATAATTCTAAGTCGTTGTACGTACTAGATAACAAATTGGTTTCAAATCGATACTAAAGCATGTCCTTTATAAAAATCGAATGTATAAAATTAGTTTAAAATTCTTAATAAAGAATCAAATTTTTACTCTGAGTATACTTTTTTTCAACTGCTACTTCAATTTCTAATATTTTTTCGTATGATTATTGTAAAATTATTTAGTATAAATCTCAAATACAATATATTTTTTGGAACAAAAAAACTAAAAAATAATATACAGTGTAAGCTTTTCAAAAATAAATTTTTTATTTGAATCACTATCTATAACCAACTTTAAATAATATTACAAAGTGTTTCTGTTTTAACTACAGTATGTTTATACTATTTAATTGCCACTTTTAAATTGTATACAAGCGTATTGATTTATTCTTGGCTGTTTATGCATTTGATCTCAGTATTATTATTGTAAATACTATTCAAGTGTTTGTATTTTTAATAGCGGATTTTATAATTTTTCCTTTTCAAATTACTATCTTTAGCTAATTTCATATTTTACACAAGTTTAATCTTAGCCATACTTATGCTATTTAGATCACAAATTTCAAAGTTTATCGATTTTTAGCCCAATTGTCACTTTTAATTACTTACCTTTTTTATTTTGGTTATATTTATGTCTTTTTGATAAAAAATTTAAGATTATTTTTATTCAAGTTTCTATTTAAAACAGAATTAATAAAAATATAAAAAAAATATTATAAGAAAATTACGTATATGTATACCAAATAACATGAATAACATGCTGTAGTGATAAATATCACTACAGTATCTAAATTTTATAACGGACAATCATTTCAAAAAATATAAAGTTTAGTACTGTATCAAAAATATCAGCTCTATTAATAACTTTAAAAAAATATTACTCTAATATATAGCAACTATATGAGTGCGTGAGAGTGAAAATCTGGAAACCGATCACAGTAAATCGTTAAATAGGTTTCCAGGTTTTCACTCTCATGCACTCATATAAAATATTTAAACACAATGCATTAATATTAAAAATAATAGCATAATAAAAAAGCAAAATAAATCTAATTAAATTTATATTTACAAATTTGTATATTTAATAATTAATAGGTAATAGTAAATTGTATTTATAATAAATTATAAAATTTTCTCTGCTAATCCTCTGTACAAAAATTTACATAACTAAAATTATTAAGAAACTACAAAAAAACACACAAAGACTACTAAGAAACCAGACTTGGAACTTAAGGAAAAAGAAAGTAGACTGTAAAAACACTTAGTTTTTTAAAAAACTTGAGTAAAAGGAACTAAAGCAGCAAGGATATAGAAAAAATTGTGCAAAATCATTGGTCTTTTTTGTGTTTTGTAAATTTTTGAGGAATTGGTCTTGATTATAGATGCTAGTAAAACTGATGGAACTCTTGGTGAATAGTGGTGAAATTGGTGAAACTAGTGAAATTTAATATAATAGTCAATCAAATTTTAGATAGTCATCAGTTTCACTAACATTATTTAGTTTTACCAGCATCTATAATTTTGACTCTGAAATGTAAATCTGTTTTAGTGATACAAGAATCAAAATACATAATAAAGAATAAATAAAGGAAGCATGTCAAAAATTATGTAATAAATATAAATAAAGGTGATAAACAACCTCAACAAATAACAACAACAAATAATAATAACAAAAAAAACAACAAGTTATATAAAACAAACTTTAACAGAATGTTCTAAAAGAATAATTACTGTATCAAAAGAATTTAGAGCACAAGTAAAGGCATTTAATAAAAATGAAGATATCCTAATAGATCTGATATTAGCAGAATATGTTGAAAAAAACTTATTATAAAAAAAGAAGCTGAGAGACAAATAGAAGAAATTTATAAAGAGTTATAAAAATATAATTCAGATGTACTTAATTATACAAAACTTGTACTTAAAAAAAGAAACAACTATGATT